CGCAGATAGTCCTGTTGTGAGAGTCGTCGTTTATCAAAGATCAAACGATCCAGCTGCCTTTTTAATACAGCCATTGTATCAGATGTCACTACTTCACTTGGGAGTGAGTTCCACGGTCGAACAACACGCTGGCTGAAGGAAAACTTCCGATGATCTAGGAGTGTACGCTCCCGCTTGACTTTGTACGGATGACCGCGCAGTTGACTCATGGTAGTGAATTCAAAGAAGTCTTCAGTTTTGAGCGATCATTCATGCCCGTGGATAATGCGGAATGTCCATAACAGGTCACAACTCATTCGTCTATAGGATAGGGGGGACAAGTTTAGCTGGATCAGTCTTTCTGGATATGATTCAATGCATGTCGTACTTCACCGAAGGAAACTTGGGTCGCATGTAAACCAACGGAATGCACACTGAGACGTGAGTTGGAAAAGAGCCAGCGGACGGATTAACTTGTTTAGCCTTCGGACGAAGGGGAAAATCACAACGTCTCTGTCCTAACCGGGGTCTTTTAGCACGCCTCTGTGAAGAGAAAGCCCCTAGTCGAATGAGTCAGATGTTCTTGAATAAGCAATCAACATCTTATTTTTTGTTTTGTTGTCTTCATGTTCCCACCTTCTTGTCTAACTTCCTTTAGCCTAATGATGTACACTCCATAAGTGTTTAAGTTCATGCTCATATGCAGGTAGTCTCCCCGAGCAAGCTGTTCTGTGGTTGTACTGAACAAAAGGGAGTGGAGCATTGACTGGTGGTATGTGATTTTCGGGTTGCGCTGTATATGATTACCGCCTTAACTACAGCCGTGCATTCGTGCAGTACGAGGGAGAGAGAGGCGGAGGCAGGCCCCACGTCCGTCCCTGTGCTCAATCTACTGCCCAGTCGACTGAAAGACTCGGATATCTGATTGGCGTTTGGGCGAGGGAAGGAGAGTTGCTTTACTTCCCAACTGCGCGTCAGACCCCGCCATTTAATAATGAAACCGCTTAATGCACACAGACCGAACGGGAACTAGGTAGCACCCTGTGTTAAACTGTTTATTGTACCGTCTTGCAGCAAATATTTCCGGTTGCGTGTGTTCGCAACCGGATGCTGAAGCACTTCCACCAAGCCGGGGTTCTGACATTGGTTCCGCAGATCGACCTGACCACGAGAAGTGTCTGACCGACCACAATAAATCTGGCAGTAAGGTCCATCCCCCTGCCCAATGCTTCTCCCGGTAAACTTCACATAAAATGTTAAAATGGCATTGCCTAAGTGAAAGTGCAATACTAGTAACCTTGCAACTTAATTGAAAGGTACTTCTTGCATATCAGATGCACTGTCCTGCGTTTGAAACTTTTTTAACCACGGCGATGACCGGTAGTGGAAAATGAGTCAAACATAAATGCTGCGTGCTTTGCCAACGAATAATTCATGATTACAAGTCTTGCACCACATTCTACAGAAGGAACACGCAAGTGTCTCACTTTTCACTACAATAATAATAATGGAAAGACGAAGAAAAAGAAGAAGCGATCACAGGGACAAGAAGCTTCTTTGCTGATGCTTCGGATTCTCCCTCAAGGTCGTCATCAGCGACATTTACGATTGCTTTGTGACCAATTACGTATTCTTTCAAGCGCCCTTTTTAAATAAGTGATATCTGAAGCATTTTTCCCGGGTATGAATTGAAAACAGACATGTACAGCAAAATTTATTAGTGTCAATGAATTTCGTGACAGCTTTTCAACTGTAGCCCGTCTCTGCATAAAATAGGTAATGAATGGAAGCGCACAGCAGTATGAATTTGTACAGAATGTCAATGCGTAAGAGCAAGGTCAATTGTCCTGGTAACCTTCACTCCTCGATTTACTCGAGACTCTGATTTGTGGTTAACACCCCGTCTCTCTCTTTCCTATATGATGCTTATGAAAACGTCTTTCATCTGATTATTCATTGCCCTGAACCTTGGCCTTGATCTTATGCATTGAAATTCTCTACAAATGCGTGCTGCTGTGTGCTTCCATTTGTTACCTATTTTATGCAGAGACGGGCTGCAGTTGAAAATCCGTCACGAAATTATTGGTACCAATAAGTGATATCATCAATCTTTGCTTTACGTAAAATGCGTACTATGTAGTGCGCAAAATGTATGTGAAAATTAAACAGCAGAATTGGTTTATTAAAATGTGCGAACTGATAAATTATTTAAAGGCAGTTTGGCACATTTTATTCACGTAAAAATCAAAGACCGCCATGCACGCGTGCGGTGAGCGTAGGAGCTGATAATCTTGACCGGCACACAATGGAATAGCAACGGCACGGCAACTGCATTCTTCAACACCTGGCCAGTCGAGCCGTGATGCACTCGGGAGCTGCTAACTGCGATAGGCATGTAGCGGCCTAGCAGCTGGGCATCTGGGCATTTACCACCCCTATCTGACTCTGTCTCTGATTATGGATTCGAGTGAGAATCCGAAACGTCAGGCTAATAAAGCTCTTGTTCCAGCGATCGTGTCTCCTTCTTCGCGAAAGCTTCGCCTGTTAGTGGTCATTTATTCCTACGTGACCGCCTGAAATTGCCTCAAGGTTGAGGCTCCAAGAAAAAACAGGACGCCCATATGCCTTCTGAAAGTGAGGTCAGACTGACGAAATGCCACGCCCAAGAAAGCAGTTAATACCTGTCACTCAACCACCCTGCACAAAAACACGCGATCTAAACCAGCAGAACGTGGGCCAAATGTTCGATTATAAGTCCGCAGGCGTTTGTGTGACTTTCATTTACTACACATTGCTCTTTTTTGCCTGATAAACAAGGCCCCGCTACTGTAGGAATGAAATTAGTGGCTCCACTACATGTGCCTGCATATGTCAACAAATATCTTCTCCTCATGTGTTGGGGTGGTGGGCGGGATTTCCGCTAACAGATCGTACGTCGCAAAGGCGGCTACCATACCGTTACTGCAGATTGATCTGAATTTGTGTTAATGGCCCCATTTCTAGGTTGTCAGTCGGAAGCCCAGCACGAAAGCAGATTTTTATGACCAATCACAATCGGCCGAAGTCGTAATACAGCATGAGGAAGTGAGTATTAGCAGTTGCCTTACTCGTGGCCATTTTAGCTAGCTGATTTTGAATTTTTCCGCTCACCCGTGAGTGCATATTTCTTTTATTTACGAGAGGGTCCGTTTTAGAGTTAGTTTTGGGAGGGCTAACCTTAGGATTAGGGATGAATTTGGGATTGAAGTACGAACAGAGGAATGGGTACCCTTCACCTAAATTTAGCATAAGGCCACCCATAGTATGGGAAGTGCTTATAATCGACTCTAACTGACTTTTGTTCACCAGTGTATATGCTATTACATGTTTCCACCGAGGTATCCGCATCAAGGCGGAGTTTGTAGTTTACTGAAACGTAGCAGGATTCTTCACTTGGTATTGCCGTAAACAGCCTTTTGTCGGACGTACACTTAGAGGAGCTACTGCAGTAAGTATACAACAGGCCGAAAGCTGCCACTTTATTTACGGTTCAGGGGGAAAGAGACTGTTTGAGCACCGGAATAACCAGTCTGTTTGTCTGAAATCGCAAACTATGCTTCTCTGGCGTCTTCACCAGTGAAAAACTGGTGCAACAAGTCTGCAGCTGACTATGGAGGACTCTGTCGCTCTGTATAGGCCATAGAAACAAGTCAAAGAACTACGAGACTTCCGCGTCAGCTACCTAAGAAGTATCCTAAATGCAATAATCCGCATGAATGAATATGCGGGACCAGGTCGTGGAGTCCACTGCTGTGTTCCGTGTGTATTGCATGATAAAGCATATCCAGCTGCGTTGGAAAGGCCAAAACTTTAGCGCCTCAGATGAGCGTCCACCCAAGTTATTAGCAGCCAGGGACACAAGCAAAATGATACGAAGGCGCTCTGAAGACCTCTTCCAGGTGACTGAAACCCAGCCAGGAAACCGGGCTTACTTTGCGCAGATGGACACTGATGGCGTTCTTAAAGTTCTGTAGAATTTCTTATCCTACTCGAGTCTTATGAAATGCCCAGATCAAAAGTTTCGGGCCATTACGTCTGCCTATTTTCACTGGAATTGATTCAGCGTCCAGAATTCTCTCGTTGAATGATTGTTGCGGTGTCCTGATTGTCTCTGTCTGAGACGTCCACTTTTGGCGTTACGTAACAGAGTCTGTTTATGGAGGCCTTGCAGACCAATTATGGCGACTGGGAAGACACCTTGAGTGCTCGCATTAGCTCCCCAAATTAACCAGACAGTTGGATTGTGCTTTCAGGACTGGGCAACGCCAGAGGCCCCGTCGGCTGGAGTCTGTATACCCGTATAGTACAGATAAAATATGTTTATCGCCACCGTCTGCGTACGTTTGCTCTTTTTCTGCCTCCCGCCGCCTCTGCCGTGTTTGGTTTCGACACTGAAACAGTGCGACTTTATTGAAACCCGTCTTGTTAATCGCATAGCTCCTGTGTAGCCTGTGCTTCTTAACCAGCAGTGGTCATAGTTATTTTGCGTTTCGCCAAACAATCTTGGTACTTCTGGTGTGACCACCTTTAAGTCATCCAAGGAGGTGGTGTCAATGCTGTCTCGCATTTCCTCCCATCTAGCATCACAATCGTTATTCTCGTTGCGCTCCTCCTCCCGCTCCCACCCCTCCCTCTTCCGGAACTTGAATTTATTCCAGGCGGATGTCCATGCGGTGGCCATGTTTATTCTTCTTTCAACAATACCAATATTTCAACGTTAAATTTACTTGGTTCTCTCTTTCTTTAGGGACAATGCAGTGCTAGAGCGGTGCCCTTGCAACTAATAGGACATGGTGATGGTATTTCGAACGATACGCACCCCCCATATCCTCGTTGAGATCAACACGTCACGATGATATTACCTCTTGACGATTACCCGGTCCAGAAGTTGCCAGTGACATGAGTATAGGTGCACCCACACTGTGGAAGGTAAGAAAAAATATTACTGAGTGAAACTCGTTTTCCGCGCGTGTCTTCAACAGATGGAAGCCGTTGTCGTTGAAGGTGCCGACTCCGTGGCAACCCGGCACTTCCTACCAGGTAGCGTAATCTGTACCTTGATGGGCGTTAAGGTCACCGTGGACAGTGAACCGCTTGGGATTCAGTACGCTTCAAGGAGCCCACGTGGGCCCTCGTAGGACTTGTTTTTTCTATCATCACTGCTCATCATAGGGAGGATGTAAGTGGCCCTATGTCTGTCGACTTTTCCGCCGAGGTAAGAACCTCGGGACTAGGAGATTGTCGAGGCCTATGAGCTGGCGATGGGGTAATTGCCAAGTGATGTCCTTTTAAACGACATGGGAGGCTTTAGAGACGCGCCACTCCTCCTTTGGACAAAGGTGCTCAGCGCACCTAATTTCTTTCGTTGTTCTGGCCGCAATGTGAACAGAATCGCTCTTGGAATTTGAAGCAGGGAGACGAGGAGGGGGTTGTTGTTTTTTCGAGTAATTTTCGACAACGTGGCTGACGTCTATAAGCCGCGGTCAGCTTGCCGACGGCGTGACGAACTATAATTTAATCGAAGTTTTTTGGCAGATTTGAATGACCAATTTGACCCAGCTGTGTGGTTGAACTCACTGCTCTTGGTGGATGCTCGTAGCCCAGGTGGTTGGAACTTTGGCCGTACTAAAGCCTTCCCCTTGCCGTTGTTAGTTCAGATCCCACTGAGGCCGCGAGTTTTCACAACTGGGTGAAAGACATAACTAGTATTTATTTAGGGCATGCATCCTTCTCTGAGGGGAAGTAGTGTAACGCCTACATGGGGCCGCTTATTCATCTCAAACGCCTGCGCTAGAGGTCACGAGTTTGCCTTACTGGACAGATGACCTAAGTGGGGGTTGCCTGTCGCCCACTCTGTGGGACATTTTGTCCTAGGGAAGGCAGGGATGGAGATAAGTGGCGGAATTACCAGACACGGAGAACATCATAACATCAGAACGCAGAACATCATAATCTGGTTTTGTCGCCAGGAAAGATGGCCACCAGGGTGTGTCCGCGGTGCAGAACACAGCATCGTGCAGTCACAAATAGAAACTGGGTGCCGGGATGGGACAGTCGTATCATCAGACGGATGTCAGTCGTTAAAGTTGTAGTCCCCGTGCGTGCGCCTGAGATTTGTCCGCCTGCAGCCAATCAGCGAAGGACGCAGCATCGATTGGCCTCGAGCTCTCTCCCCAAGCTGTGTTGCCAAGTCTCTCTCGGCTCAAGCCACTAACTGGCAGGACGCGTGAGGCGGACTGAAGGCGGCGGTGGGAGTCGGCGGTCGCACCGACGACCACGGAAACAGACTGCTGCAGGGCAATGTAAATGCATCCACCAAGTTCCTCGATGCCTTCGATGCTAACCATCAGCACGTTCGCATCGAAAGACCGGACAATGCACCGGTGGATCAGGAATGACCGCCGATCCACAGCGTCACTTCTACTCCATCACAGCTCCTACACCACGCCTACCAAACTGCATCCCATACACATTTCTGAAGGACAATTAACCTGCAGATTATTGAAAATGGGGTTTTTAATATGCACCACACATTTCGTTTTGTCTAGTAATTTATTTGCATGCGCGTTTAGTGTCTATTCCTACAATCTAGGTTTACTAATTTCACTTCGGTGTGTACATTTTGCACGTTCGGTGTCACCAAAACTTCTTATTAAGAGACGAGTAAATGCCACTCTGCATGCAGACGCATATTATATTTTCCCTTCAAATCGTTATGTATCTTAATATGCGTTCCGCACGATGTCTGACATGACTGTCAAATTAAAAGGTACCCTGAGTCAATTAGGCATGTTTCATGTGTTTTGTCATCTAATATAATGACAGCAGTCGTCTAAGGCTCAGCTTACTGACAGAGCATTCTAAGGATGGCGGAGAACCTCGGTGTCGAAGGTATTCTGCAACCCAGGAATGTGGGCTGGAAGCTTGGTTGCAGGCAAGAATTCGATCAATTCGTCGAAGCTTATCGCGTAATATAATCGGTTTACAAATTAAAGTGCTTATATAGTTGCAAGTTGGTCTATGTGTATAACATGGTAAATTTGTTCTGTAGGAAGCCAGAAATAGCTGTCTACAACCCATTCACGCCCACTTCCTGGGATAAAAGTCGGAAATGAATCTCAAAAGTCTTAAAGTACGATATTTGTCACCTCTGCCAGGAAGTTTATGTGAGATCACGCGCTGAACAAATGATGTCGCAAAGGCAGTCGTTCAATCTCGACACAAAATACACACTCGTTTCTACTGTTTCCACCGTCTACCTCACACTGTGCCCACGACAAAGGGCAGCGCATGACGATACGCATATTTAAATTTCAATGGAGAGGACGAAGATACAGGAGGTGGGCTAACTCATGAAATGTCAACCGAAATCTCGAAATGCGTTTTCGATTCGAAAAGATTAATTAAGTAGGGTTGTAAAACCAATCATCAGGTAACATAATCCTGTAATAATTCAGTCACCTCGGGATGCCGGCTTTCAAACAAACTTATTTTTGGCTGCATGCTTGAACTACGCTCTGCAAAAAAACGACTACTTAAGTAGCATGCATTTTTCCCGTCGATTTTCGATGCCCTTAGATAGTCAATTATATTTCATAGAAAACATGCATAAAAAGATTCGTTCTTTTTCTCATTCGGCAGAAAATTACGTCTTCTTTCAAGTTTATACTCGAAAACAGTGTTTACTTTGGCTTTAAAAAGCTTTTCCAATTCTCGAATAATTTTGAACTCGACCTGCCGTTGCACTTTCATTGAGGGTTTCCAAACTACAAGCCGTATGTCTTCCGCGTACGGAAAACCGCGAATTTCTCTACGTTATTCAGAGGCGATCACATGTGGTTCATAGAATTTAGCGGTGAATTTGAGCCACATTGTCAACTTTGAAAGCAACACTAGTAAATGCAGAGACATGACGTTTTATGAATGGCCATTTCGTGGTATTAAACAATCTTACAATTATAAACTTTTTTAAAACCAAATTATACCCTTTCTTCGAGTACAAAGTTGAAAGAAAACGTAATTTCCTACAGAATGAGTAGAAGAATGAATATTTTTTAAATGTTTTTCATGTAAAATACATGCTACTTAATTAGTAATTTTTACAGAGTATAGTTCCTGCATGCAGCCGAAAAGAAATTTGTTTGAAAGTCGGCATCCTGAGGCAACTGAATTATTATAGAATTATGTTGTACGATGATTGGTTTTACAACCCTACCTAATTAATCTTTTCGAAACGAAAACACCTTTCGGAATTTCGGTTGACATTTCCTGAGTTAGCCCACCTACTTTAGGTATTTATTTGATGACTTCTCAAACCTAAAACACTCTGCAGGGTAAATACACAGTTTTATCAATTGAGACAAAAGTATCCTGTTAAAAGCGTGGAACCTTTCGGAGAAGAGCATCAGTATTTGTGGTACCAGTCAGCCTGATTTAGAAAACGTTCCTGATCGATTCTGAATTGGCGCATGCATTTTGCTGGTCTGAAGACTCCATTTACACAGTAGTAATAGGGCACTATATGTTGACCGACCAAGTCCTAGCATTGAATTTCTCAACAGTGACGGGCCACACGCATCTAAAGTGGTCCTAGGCGGCAAGGCTTTAACTATGCGAAATTTAGCCACGCAGGTACGTGAACTGCTGGCAAAATACGCCACAAAGAAGTCTCCATATGTCTTAGGGGTAGTTCGTCCTTCCTTTCTTAATTACAGATGCAGACTAAGTCCCAATTAGGGACTTACGTCCGCTTAGGTGATTAAGTGCGGTTTCCCATCACAGTCGTCTGCGTCCATCAACGGCAGCAATAATGTCACCAGTAATGAGGGCGAATTTCTTTCCAAAGCCATTTTGTGTACAGTGTGAACTTTTACGAAGCGCCAAGTCAACTTCCCACCACAGGCGTAGTTTCGGATCTACCATAAGTTAACACCTTCATCCTGCCAGTAGGCTCCTTGGGTCGAACCGATATCGCATGAGGTCCATCCGAGAGGCTGATCAGTAGATGGAGGTCCGAGTGAATGAGACTACGGTCGAGATCACCCTGCTCTACAGCTGCTAACGTGAACCTACACATTCTCTTGGTATGAAGAAGGCAGAGGCGCTTGACAGACAGTACCTCAACCGAATATTGTGGTTTTAGTTCATGAACTAGCCCTTGAAAGTTGATCGTGGACGAATGCTGTTAATTTTTCAGTACAAGGCTGCTGTCTCATTTGAATGCTCGTTCTTGTTGGTGTCATCGCCGCCGCCGCCGCCGCCGTCATGATGATGATGATGATGACGACGACGACGACGACGACGATGATGATGATGATGATGATGATGACGACGACGACGGTGGTGGTGGTGGTGGTAGTGGTGGTGACCAACCAAAATACGAATAGATGTGTGAACTTAAGGATCTTCGCTCACAAAGACAGAGGTAGCAGAATGGCCACTTCCGGTGGAGTGGTGCCGAGGTTTGAACTTCGGTCAGTTTGTCAGGCAGCACCGTCCTAACCACCGCACCGTGCTCTGTCAGCTCTGCAGAGGATGCTGGGTCGGACAGTCCAGGAGAATGGGATGCCCACTAAAAAACAATTTCCGAGAGTTTAGTCGACAATCTTGGAACCTCAGCCGAACAACTGCGCGATACCGCGGAGTCTGGAAGCGACCAAATCAGGATTAGGGATAGTCGATACATATACAAGTGTGTAACGTTGATGCGGCATTGCATTTTTGAACTTGCCCACGAATGCATCATGTTTTGTATATCTGTTATGAATTGAATGAACACTTTGAATGTTTATTCGTTACAACCAGCGAAATCTAATTACGGCTGTTTTATACCTGCATATTCTCTGCTGATTGTTGAGTGAACACTAAGGTAGTAATAACAAAAACGTCAAAACGACTGTCATTTTGGGAAAACCATAACCACCCATAATGATTTTGGACATGAAGAATAGAAAGGCAGTAGTGGGAAAGAGGACCCATAGACACATCTAAACGATCGGAAACGGCTAATAATGACTCTCCAATCGGCAAAAGCCACGGATCCTGGTCCAGTTGGTGCCGTCATACACAGTGACCTCCCACTCGGCAACCAACCAATCAGCGTTAAGCGGCTGTCGTCTGTCCACTCGGTCGCCACCTGCTCAGGTCCGGACAGCGAGTAAGTGACCTATATAACAGCTTAATGTAGGAATACGCAGCCTGATAATGTTTCGTCGTACTAGCTTTTGGAGATCAACTCCACCGATCCCAGATCCCCCTGGTTCAGTGGGTGCGACTGTCCACATGATCATCCTTATCGGCCTGCTTCTAGCCTGCAGTCTGCAAGTCGTATTTGCGGCTAGCAGAAACTCTCATGCTGTAGTTCAAAACGTTGACGATGTCTTAAGAGAGAAAAAGACTGCATTCGCACTATCTGCTACCCAAAAAGAGCCCATCCACAGTCCGGTCGCGCGGATGTCATCAGGTTCCCCCGACCAGTTCCACCAAGATCTCTGGAGAGCTGGTAATTTTTGCTTATTTAAAAGAGCCGGAAAAAGGCATTGCAATTTTATTTATTCCATTCCGTCGGACTTCTAGCCTCTTGTTTGTCATGACGAGACTGATTAGGGGAATTTCCGTTGTCCGTGAAAGCATATTTTCTGAGGAAATATGTCTCAAAGCCCTTTAATGCATTTGGCAATTTTTAATAAGTTCGAATACACATATTTAGCTAGGTGAAACATGCCACCATTAAAGTTAGGCGCTTGGACCCCTATATCTGCCTCATATCCAGGCGTGTTTCGCATTTATCCACATAGTCCTTTGCGATGATTAAGTTCATTTTATTGATAACTGACTCATCTCGACTTTAGAGTAGACCTCTAAACACTAGAAAACGCGAGTCGCCGGACAAACGTAGAGCAATAGGGTCAGAGAAACCTTGAGTATGTCCTCCTGGGTCTTCGGACGATGTCGTTGCATCACCCTTCACAGCTTCTCACGATATCCAGTATCGATGTCAACAGTGATCGGTCTCATCACAGTGATCTTATTATGAGCTCTTGGTGATTAATTAACCACTGTCACGCATAATTGGGCGACGTTTGTACAAAACTGTTGGCCCCACTAGGAAGCCTACCAAATTAACCGAAGTACATAAGAGTCAAGATCGGACTGATTCCAACGACCTAAATGCGCGCATGGTTTATCTAGGCCATTTGAATGGGCATGTGTTCATCAGGACGTCCGGTTGTCTGTGCGAAGTAGAGGCTGATTTCTCAACCGTGATTTCCTAACTTCTGATTTGGGACAAGTACACGCCCACCTGGACGGAACGGTGACCTAATCAACGAATTAAATTAGCTGTATACAGTAAATTCCAGTTAATTAAGCCGCTGGTCAGTTGAACTGGCCGTTTATTCAGCCGAATCCTGGAGACCAGGTCTGAATGGAATGAGTAACGGTAAGCGTTCCCTGCAACAGACAAGTTCGAGCTGTAAGCGTTAGTTGTTCGCCTTTGAGGTGAAGACAACACATTGCATACACGTTCCAGGAAAGGGCTAGCAAACAAAAACCCCAATGACGTTTAGCCACTAAGAATGATGCTTCCCTCTCAAACTCGGCCTGAATGACCCAATAACGGCCTCGACTTCTTTGATCGCAGCTTATCGGGCAATCTTAAAAAACGACACGACGGATTTTACCATCTTTCAAAGTATATGCTTGAAATGCACGTTTGGAACACAATATAAGTAATGTCGACCCCAAGAGCGTACACAGTCAATGAATTCGGAAGATAGGTAACTTCGCCCGTTCGAATACGTTTTCACTTTCATTGGCTGCATGGGGATTTTTAGCCTTGCTACTGTAAACAGGCTTTGTTGGCGGGTGCCTTAATTTCAACTTCAGGTGTCTCTCCTGCTTGCAATTGGTGGTCATTTTAACTTCTTTAAGGCTAGACTAGTCTGAAAAACAATCGTCTTCCTGATGACTGCCTTGAACATGCTCTCTCTAATTGCGATCGGCAATAAGGCTCCTACATCCAGAGGAATGTTCACTCTACTCAGTTGAACACTAGCTATACCCGTGATTGGATGTGTTGTCGTAGTGAATGAGTGACTCTTTACAATGGGACAAACACTCCGGAGAATTCGTCAGCATTCACTCAGTGGTCAGTGCAGACCGTGGTCCCAGAACAGACCTCGAAACGTTCCCCCTATCTTATCTTCTTATCCTGGCCAGTATATGCTTCCTAATGCCATTTTACCGATGCCTTACAAGAGTATCTGATTATCCGTTGCGCTCGCCTTGTTTTCAGGATATATGAACAACTTAAGCGAAATGAAGTACGCAGTGGTGCTTAGGTTAAATTTATACCCCTATCCTCTGGGTTTGTTGTGGATGTTTTGAACATAGCATCGTGTCTTCTGCCAAGATTCTACCCGAATGTAGCCTTAAAACTGCCTGCAGTACTGGTTCACGTACTACATTAGTGGCACTGGGGTTATATGGACGTCCAAGACAAAGTGACTGTTTTCGTTTCTTTGCCGCTAAACGCGATCGGAAATGCAAACTGTTCCGTTATGCCTTGGAGGAGGTTATGTGCACGTTTTATCGAAACTTACAAGATATTTACTTGAACGGAGCATGTGAGTACTGACTCACTATTTAGCGTAACCTACTCTACTTCGCAGCAAACACTTGGACAGGCTACTTTGACCGCGTGTAAGCTAGCAAGCTAATCAGGTGACATACATTCGGAGTCAGGAGTCCATGCAATGCGACGGGCAAGTAGATAGCCGCTGCGTTAACGTGTGCAGTATTCACGAAAAGACTCGACTACACGGAGGTCTGTAACCATGCTTTCGTAAACAGGTAGCGTTGGCGAGTGTCTTGGTCGTTAGTACTACCCCTCCCTAAGCTCTCGATGGATAATTTGAATTATTTGCAAACAGTCCTCTCTCTGATGATTATTCTGAGGGCGCGAATGCCTCCTAAACCCATAAGGCTGTGCTCCCTACAAAATGAAGTGCTAAAGTGTTGCGACAAAAGTGTCTCCCAATTATTCACAGACACTGGTATACTTAGAATCACGTCAGAATGATCTTTTTAATAGAAGACTTATCTACCGGACTTATAAGCGGTGCTTGAAGTTCGACAAAAGCACAACAGATTCATTTTCGAATTCCCGTACGTTGTTCAATTCGAAAGTGCTTTTCTTCGCTTAATGCCATCTTGTGTCCTGTAATGAAGAGTTTGGATTAGGTGGGCCTTTGCCCCACCAAATCGATCCTGGGTAGGCTGTGCTGCATACTTGTCCGTGAACTGGACTGCGCTTTCAGTCGACATGATTTGGAACCCACCACTGGGTCGCAGGTGGGAAACGAGTGTCCTGGGTCGATTAACCTTCATCAAAAGCGTAAGAAACATACTATGAGGAGGTAAAAGTAATTTGAATCTATAACGGCGAACCATCAATCGTGACTTCAGGAAATGTCAACTGATGGCATCAGTCGGTCTCACTCAAGACATGATGCCGAAATGTATTGGCTAATTAGTCATGTGACATCTATGCTAAAAAAACGGATGTGTTAAAAACGTCGCCTAAATCAAGACAGTTAAGCAAGGATTTGGCAAATAGTTCCAGATTTCTACCGCCGTCTTGTAGTAGGCGTGGGACAAAAGTGCGAAGAATAAGTTCGACGCAGAAAAAATCACATTTTGTAATACACATGGGTAAGAAAGTGTACCAATGCGAAACTAGAGCCTGTCATTAAATGTGACGGCGTAAACAATTTCAAATATGTCGACTAACATAGATTTGGAAAGAAGAAAAGCAAAGAAAACTGGAAGTAAGAAAAAAACACAAAGGGAAAAAGAAAACGGTCGCACGTGAGAGCATAAAAATAATAGAATGAAAAGGAAAAACTACAAATGAAAAACAAAAGGCAAAATAAAATACAAACAAAAAGATATAAAGAAGGCAATTAACAAAATTTACTTTACCAAACACAGAAAAAGAACAGAGAGAAGACAAACAAAACAAAGAGTACGAAGACGAGGACGAGGATGTCGTGGTGGATGAGACCGGCAGACACGCGGTGCCCGGAATGATCAACGATTCCGAAGACGAGGACGAGGATGTCGTGGTGGATGAGACCGGCAGACACGCGGTGCCCGGAATGATCAACGATTCCGAAGACGAGGACGAGGATGTCGTGGTGGATGAGACCGGCAGACACGTGGTGCCCGGAATGATCAACGATTCCGAAGATGAGGACGAGGATGTCGTGGTGGATGAGACCGGCAGACACGTGGTGCCCGGAATGATCAGCGATTCCGAAGACGAGGACGAGGATGTCGTGGTGGATGAGACCGTCTGACACATCTTTATCTGGGCTGTTTTTGATCGCTTCAATGGGCTAATTTTTTATATCTTTCTTTTTAGTCTTTTTTGTTTTTTTCGTCTTCGCTGTCCATTTTTTTGTTTTATTTTCTTTTAACCTTTTCTTTTATGTTTATTGAATTTTTCGTATTTCTTTCTGTTCCTTTTCCTTTTTTTCTTCTTTTTGATACTTTTATCCCTCTTCCTTTCCTACATGTCTTTCTTCTCTGAATAATTATTCTTTGTTCAGTGTTTTCTCACCATTACTTTCCCTTGGACTGTATTTCTGAGGCATGTGGCTTTACATGTTTTTCGGTGTACTGAATCACTTTTCATCTGGATATCCTCCGCGCACTTATGAATCAGTATGTTTCCAATTTCCGACAAGCCTTTGTTCTTTGACTTTATGCTGTCTTCGATGGCGAAATCATTTCTCGTCTTAGACCTCTGTCTTTCATCCTCTTCCCAGCTTGGATCGGCAAGCCCAGCCTAATTTCCTAAAATTCTTCCACCAACCTTCATCTGGCATTAGGTAGAAATTAGCAGTTACAAGCTGATAGGATTTGATCGACAGTGTATGGCTCTGGATTAGGTGATATTTATACTAAAGAAGATCGGTCATCTCGTGTTTCCGAAAATGATACCTCATAATATGACCATATCCGTTGTCTGGATGTATCTTATATGCCGCCTCTGTATGCCGGACAAGAGCCACCAGGCAACGGGGTTGAGCACTTCCTTACTCTGGCATGCACGACAACTCTGGCAAACACGGAGGTACACAATCCTATATTTCCGGAGTCATCCAACATAGACTCTGTCGCTGCTATCGCAAATTCACGCCTTGCTGATAAAATGCAAGCGCTAGTTCCAAGCATTCGAAATTCCAGAGCTGCGGTGGATACTTATTGATTGTTGAGAACTGCGTGAACTCGCACAATGTTTTTTCCTGAGCAGTTTTAGATATTTCAGCGAGAATGCCTTAATAATTCTACTCATCTGCTTGCGTTTTCAATAACGATGACAAAACTAAGTGGGAGAAATGCAATTATCGAATATTTGGCGTCTCTCTGAAACATCTTAACGGGCAGCTTCTGGAAGCGCTTTCGACCCGTCAAGGACTCACGACGGTGGACAAGACATGACGGTCATCGTTGGTCAGATATCCGGCCAACAAGGGATTCTAGACCAGACATAGAATTATGTCCTCTCACAGTCCTTTTTGAGCATGCGAAAACTAGATTCCTCCCTCTAGGATCTCGAAGTAATCAGACTCCAGTCAGTGTTTGCAGGACAGGAGTCGTACTGGTCTATGCTGTTCTGCCCTTCGACCCCGCCTAAGCCGGAGTTGGTGTCAACCGCCGCAGCAGAAAGCTAGCTTTAAGAATGAGACTCCATCGTTGCAACAAGGATAAAGCTCGTCCACAGTCATGTGCGTCCGCTGCCTCAACCTCTTCCAATATCTGACAGCGAGTTCGGAGGCTAATCCTTATTCCCGTGATCGTCTATCCATCTTACCAACTGCTTCCTAGAACTCGCATTTTCGCGCATATTTGTAGTTGCAATAGACGGCTCTCCTTCCCATAGTTTGTTCTCGCATTCCGCCGACCCAATGCGGAACGTTCATCTGCAACATCCGCAACCCATCGGAGTTGGCGCCACCGCCGTTGTGGCCAAGCCACTGAATGTGCAGATTAGGTTGGGTTTGACTAGGAGGACATGCTTGACCTGACAGGTGTGTAGAATGAGGCGCCAATAAAAAATGGTCGGTGAAGGTCTAGTCGGAGATCACTGAGTATGGGCCGCACTGGGTAGTTTGGCCTTGTCAAGAAAAATCCGAAGAACTTCGTTCATTTTAGTAAGTTTTTTCGTAAGCGAAAGTGAAGGTTATACCCGGCTGATTATAATATCTAGTAGTGAGCAATAAGTGAGTTATACTCTACCCTATTGTCAGTAGGAGAATAGAGGACCGCATACTACACCTAAATCAGAATTGCACCTGCTCGTCAGCGTTGAGAAAAAATTGCATTTTTACAAAACATACAGGCAACAGCATCAGACACGTTAATCGTATGTCTGCTTCGTAACATAAAAAATTTCACGGTAAGCCTATGACCAGATACGGCACGTGTTGTCCTTGGAGCCAGTGATTATTTTATCCGCTTCGTAATTAAATGCGCAACTGAAGATCTCATCGGTATGTCCAAGGAGAACTTCCCGCAGATTACCGTTTTCGGTTTCCCACAAACGCACCGTCTTGTCCGCACTTGCCGTCATTATAGTTGTCCCTCGTGGGTTGAAGCAGACCTGAGGGGAATGCAAACATTTAAGAGGTAACGCTATGAAAAAACGACATTTATGTTAGTAAAGCCCTATTGCATGTACTACGGTTGCGAGTGGCCTGATGAGTCAACCTATTCAGCAACACTGTTTCATCCAACCTCAGTAAGTTTTCAATTAAACCGCGCACGAAGCGACCCTCTCAATCTTCCACGTGTCTGCTTCACTCAGAGCATTGTGGAGAGGTGGCGTGGCCGCCATAAGACAGTAATAAATAAATAGTTTTATTTGGCACTTTCATGGTGACGACTGCACTGCAACTAGCCGTCAAATACGACTGAGCGCATTAGTGCAGTTTGACTACATACCTATTGGCACACAATACTACACCCTCTGCCGTTCGTTTTACTCCTGTAATTGTACTACTTAAATCATTTAGGCAATGCTTATAGTAATAACTCGATACCCGTCACATATACAACTAAAGTTAGGTATTAAAGCGCAATAACCCTAACCCGTAGGAATATGCTGAAAATGGTTCCTTCACTGAGACATAAGCAGTGGTTAATTGAAAACTGCCTTTTCAAAAACTCTCTTGCTTTGCTGATTTATTGCAGCGCACACTAGTTCCACATTTAAAGGCGAGATTTTTCTGGTGTCGGACAGGCCTCCGCTCAGTAAGTCAGATTAGGATATAACCGGTAGCAAAGCCTTACTGTAGGCGCTATGGACATGAGTGGCCATGTTGTTTCCCCTAACCTCCGTGAGCATCGGACAAAACCGCGGTCAGGCAGGTATAAACCTAACCTTTGATCTGTCTTCCCCACTCGACGTTCAGTAGAGAAGTGAGATGGCATCAATAAGGCAGAAGGGGAGATTAGGTCATTGCCTTCATTCAGGAACAACCGAGTGTATTTATGCTAGAGGTGCGCCGACCAGCTGGTGCTGCCGAATTCCATACCTGTCTAGCATTACTTTCACGCCTAAACCTGTGCTATTGATCTTATTTCGATAAAGTTCTCTCACACGTGACCTGTAGGAGGACATCGGGGGTAGGTGGTTTTCCAAGGGCGTCTCCTATTACCCTTAAAATAGACTGAAAAGGGTGCCAATTAACAGTTGCCATTTCAACGTCACTCCTGATTGCCAGATAGGTTACGACGGGCGCTGCTTCGAAGTTAACAAGTGAGTTGTCCCCGAAATTAGACAGAACGATCCTGGACATGGGCTTTCAACCAAACGCTTATAGCATATGTGAGAAATGCAACTGAGTGCGTTAGCGAGAATTATCTCCGAGCCCCCATCCAAGAACATACCATGGATCTGTTCTAATACCAAACACGGGGCTGCTTTGGATAATGTGGACGTGCAATCGGATGCACTCCACCCTACGACGACGTAATAGGGATAATTGAATTCCGCTTCTAACTACGGCAGCGTGACGAATTTTTGAGATTTCAGAACGTTGGCGTTCAACCGAAATACATATTGTCCAGAAGGACTGGCTGATATGAACAAAACGGCGGGACCACATTATGGACTGTTTTATTAATCGTTCACAAGGTGTTTAACGCATGAGTAGATAGGAAAATAGTAAACATAAGGGTGTAGAAGCTGATCAAGCGTTGCATGTCTGCAAACTTTTCTGAATGACAGTGCTTTGTCTCAGTGGAAACGTGTAATCCAAATATTCAGGAGGCAAGTCGACGCCATTTGATAACTCGATCTTATTGACTGTCGGATCCTAATCTCAGTTAGCGTATCTAGAATCATCTATAAAGGAAGCATTAACTAATAGAATGCCTGCGGACTCTTACAGGGTTCGTCCTGCCACTTCAGTTCGATGTGATCAGATGACTCAGTTAATAACAGACGAGGGCACTGAAAGTAAGTTAAACCTAGCAGCGCTTTGAGCAACCGACGAGGTATGGAACCTTTGTCGAGGAATTAATTCCATTTTTAGGGGAAGTAAACCGTGGCCTGTCCTCTGGTGCAACTGAACATTTTCAAATAGTAAACATGACTGCCTCGCTCTATCATGAGGCGTCACAAATCGTGTGCAGCAGCAAGCTTGTGCGTCAGGTGTATTGCGGAACGAATCCTGAATTATGCAGATTTTTCAAATTCCCCTCAGTAAAGCAGTTGAAGTGTTCTGATCGATGCGCCAGCGTTGACGGCTGGACTCCTGCCTGGATGCCTGGCCCTGACTGACTGACTGGTGAGTGCTTGGTCGCAGCCGCCTTGGCCGGAGGCTGTCCCAGGGCGGTGGATGTGAGTGATCGGGAAGATTGCCGAATTAGGAGTCCTAATAAGTGTGTCGCTGCAGAAATGCATTCAGTTGAATCTGTCAGGAACCACAAAGTTCAAAGAAGCTTTACTTTGGCCGAAGAAAATCTGGACCTTGTGTTTAGTTGTCCCAGACATAGTGGAACCCTCATAGATGGTAACCATGTAGGGCCCCTCATTGTCTTCCAGTCAACCAATGATTTAGTAACTTAGACAATTTTAATGATGGTTGATGACAAAATGTGAGCGTTGGTGAGAGAAAGGGGTTGGGGCTTGGTGGTGAGCAAACATTCGAAGAAGTATGAATTAAATATGGTTCGTGTTCCATGCTTACGAATATCTGGCTCAACCTTGACACAATAAAGAACTCTACGTGTTGTTTTCGGACCTTCAAAACATACCGCACGATTGTCCTAGAAGATTACCGGATGCCTTAGCCACGCCGTCGCATATCCGTATGTAGAATATGTCGCTTTCGAGTATTTGAATTAACTTGCCTTGAAGGAAGAAATTACACCGACTGTATAGACATTTCATGGGCCTGGAGGGAGCAGTAAAATTCACGGGACGAATTGCCGATTGCTTGTGTTCGGACAACTATTCTCCGGTCAAACACCTATTGTATTACTTAAAATTCACACAGCGGGCTACCTCTGAAATGCATTATTGATGACACTGGCCGTGGGTCTATAGTAATCGATCTGTCTGGAGGGCGCAGTGGGGACGTACGCGTAATCTGGCTCACTGTTAGGGGACTTGTGCTGTGTCAACTTCACTTTCTTCTCCCCCACTTACCAGGTGTTAGTGGGCCAATGCCAGTGACCGTGGACATATTGACTGACGAGGCATCTGCTCCACTTCGGCGTTATGCAACCACATACGTGTCGGCCTACAGACGTACATACGACAGCATCTATAATGGCCACATTAACGAATAGCCATTACAGTCTGGCCCTCTGCTCGTAGAAGAACCAACCTTTTTAACCACAACCATAAGTGCCTTGTGCAAAATCAAATGTGGTTTCAGAGCTTCATTGTGCTGAAGCCGAGCTGAATGGGTCTTTCTCCCTCCTCCCTTTTCGATAGCAATTCTAAGTCAAGCCGACCTCAAGTGAACTGGCTATAGTGACTAACGTGGACTACGTATAACACCTACACGTCTCTGTGATAATCTCTTACGATAGACGCCGCCGCCACCGCAGCGTAGCCCCGTTAACTCGAGCTACAGGCCTGCATGTCCAAGCATCTAGGTCAGTAACTGCCGCGCAGCCCTTTTCCACGTCAACTGACGATGAAACGTTTGGCGTAACAAGTCATAACAACCCTTCTGTTAAGATCCTCGGCGTTTTCCATTAATTTAGTCAAATTTCGTAACATTTTCACCTAAGATCCTCGAAAGATTCGAAACCAAATTTTAAGTAGAGGATGTAGTTATCGTCAACAGTACCTTGCTGACCTCACCGTCGTGACCCACCAACTTCACCATCTGTCTGGCTTCCCCTTCTGAACCGGTCCTTGTCGCGTCCCAGAGGATGGCCGTCGAGTCCGCGCTGCTGCTGGCCAACTGTCGGCCACTGGGGTCAAATGCCACATCGAGAACTTCATCATCGTGTCCTGTCAGAACGTACAAGGGACGCCTAGTCCTAGTGTCCCACACCTTCGAAAAGAAGCAACAGCTTCATTGAGAGCCAAGTTTCCATGATGATATCAAAAAAGGGACTTTTGAAGGAGAAAAAACAGAATGTGTCGGACCGCCTACTCTCACTGTCTTGTCCATCGAGGCGGTCGCGACAAGACGACCATCAAATGTACATGCTGCGGCTGCCACCTCTGCAGTGTGCCCCCTCAGATGACTGATCCGGGAAGCGGTCCGCACATCCCACAGACAGGCTGTGTGATCGAAGCTGCCAGTAAGTAGGATCTGACCGCCATTGGGATCGTAGGCACCGTAGCCGCCATGGGTGAATTGAAGTGCAATCACCTCCGCCGTGTGACCAGCCAGCGTAGCCGTCTCCTTACCCGTTTCCGCATCCCACACCTTGGCAACCGTATCCATGCTCCCTAAAGGATATGAAATGAATTACTACTTGCTAATTGCTAATCTTTTAAGGCAAGAAATGTGTGGTGTCTGTTTTTCATACAAGGTTTACAGGTGCTGAAGAGACCAGTACTTTTAAGTTGTCAATACTCGAATGAACCCGTGTTTCAAGTTTACCAGGAAAAGGCGCCTTAAGAGTACAACAAAAATATTGGATTCAGCGGCTTCTACGCGCTTGGAAATATGATAAAATTACTAAATGTTTAAGACGTTTTATGTAATGCTAACCTTATATTGAAAAGGAAGTCAGGGTTTCAAGTATTTTAGCCGCGGCTGAACTAGGCATTAACCGTTCACGAGGAAACGGCTGAATTCCAAAGTACGCTTCGGACTCGTTAAGGGACAAAGCTTTGAATCGCTTTGCAACGCAGTCACACGAAAGCGCATACTGCTTTTGGAAAAAAAAGACTGAAAGTGTATGCTTTCTAATCTTCAAACTATTAAAACCGTTCTTCTGATCGGGGCACAAGTTCCGGTCAATAATAGTGCAGACAAATAATTCAGCTTACCGGTCGCAAGACTTTTGCCGTTTGAACTAAACTGGATACACACCACCTCTGCACTGTGACCAGAAAGTGTTTGAAGACGCTCTCCAGTCTCTGCGTTCCATAAGCAAGCAGTTTTGTCAAACGACCCAGTAGCTATACGGTCTGGTAAAAAAGCATATAAAATGCAAATGTCGTAGAATGAAGTCATTTTTGAGATTTTAAGTAAAGGCTAAATTCAAAATCATACTCTACGCAGTACCCTTCTGATGCTGCCCATCAGACTTCCGTCCACAAAATCAACTGTGCAGGGATAATGGCCCAGGTCACCGAAACTTTATCATAATTCCGATGCTGTGGAGCTGTGGCTCATGCATTACAAACTAATTCGGACAGTTTTGGAGTGCGAGTGTTTATTTTGGAGGACGGGGTCTTTTTCAGCAAATGTCAGACCAGAGAAAAATTAATAACTCGAGAACGCTAGACACATTCATCTCCCACGTCTTGCTGTGTCTTGCTCGGTCACACATTCGTTACTAGCGCAGACGTATTGCGACCTGTTTTCGTTCTCAGGACGAATAACCACTTAGACGTGCGTTCTCTTATAAAACTTCGGATCTTTTAACACCGTGTTGATTGAGGGTCACCAGTACGCCGAAATTGAGACAAACTCCTCAGGAGGGGCTTAAATTCCAGACTTTACATAAAATTTATAATAGTATAGATTACTGGAATTGGTAGGGGGACAGAATGACCCCTTAGTTTTACATGTATAAGTGTGATGTCCGGCAGAACGAGGATTTCTCATTCGGGATCCCCAGTTCACTTGGTCCTGATTTTCGACACCTTAAGCACATTCCTTCTCCTAGCGGGCGTGTTTATCGTTCTCTCTACCACCTCCGGTTTGAAAATGCAAATTGTCCCGAGACAAAAGAAATACTGGGAAGGCGAGGTCAACCTGTTAGCCTGGCTGCGGCTACCTAGCGTGTTCGTGGATGACGGCGAGGTCGCTCAAGAGGCAGACTCACAGATGTGGCAGATAAGCAGTTGCGAATCACTCAGCGTTAACTTCCTTAGGTGTTACAGGACAATGGTCTGGGAACTTGGTTACCAGTAAAAAGGCCAGACACCGTGGTGGTTTCATGGCGCCTTAGATGTCGTCCGACATTAAAGAAAGCTTCAGTCACCCTCATGAAGAAGAAACCCGGAATATTAAAAAAGGCTTGCAGTAGATGGGGGGATGGGGGGTCGAGACGTCCGTTCAGAAATCCATGTTCCATAGGGAAGCATACCATTACTAAGTTACCCGGGACAGCTGATCTCCGACGAGGCACTATTAACATGGTTATTCGGGCTATGGTCTGAGCGCTTTGGTTAAATTAACCAAAAAGTCACTGTTGTCTACAGGTAAACTTTCCTGTCAGTTTACAATAACAGACCACCGGCCCTTGCTGGATGCGGAGCAGGTTACCGCCAAAAACCCCACGGAAATGAATCATTCCCCATCTGCAATTTCTTCACATCATGATATCTGCGGGAAATGACAATTACTGCTAGATTGCTTCGAACGTGAATTAATGACTAAATTTAAGATGTAACTACTCCCGAGGATAAAAAAATTTGGCGCCGTATTAGATTTTAAGCGAGTTCACGAGGCCAAACAGCAGGCAAACTTTCCTCAAAACAGTTTTTATTCAGTTTTCTGGTATTTTGGCCAGCATTCTGAGTTCTTTCCACAGGTTCGTAGTTTTCCTCACTTGACCTTGCCTTCCTTTCCTCTGTTTTTTGTAGTCTAGATTACATTTTGTTGAAAAACGCTCAATGTGAACTCCTAAAACAGATCAGTCGGATGCTAGAGCAAGTGTACCCCAAAGTTCCCGATGACACATGTGCACACAGCGCATGCTTTGTGAAAGAGACTCTGAGATTGCTTATTTTAAGCAATATTTGCGTAATTATTCTCCAAGAGATAAACGTAGGCTCAAATTATAAACTTTCAACTCCCTAATAAGTCCATTACTCTAGGGGCGAACGTGGGGACGATACAGAATGCTTTATAACAGGCTTGTGGGAGTCCTACAGCTTTTTTATGTGCGAGAAGGCTGGTAGGAATTGTAATCAGTGCAGAGTTCATCGCCTGGGAGTCGGCGTTCTCCGGCTGAAGCAAATCAAATAATGGGAGATTTTATTGATTCACCACACCGAGTGACCCCGAAGTCTGACCCATTCTTCCATGCGGCGACGTGATCAGTGCTTCTTATGTGTATATTGCATGTTATCTAAGCAGAATGGGTCAGCTGATCGCAAACACGATCACCGCCTAGAACACGGGGAGAACGTACCCCTTCCTATTAAGATCACGCTAAGAAAACCAGGCGCCCTCCAGAGCACTAAACGTGGGACGCCCAACAACGCCCTGCCGACAAGTGAATTGGAGGCGAAAACTGCCAAGTCACACGAAACGAGGCGTTTCTCGTTTGGTATTTATCGTCAGCCAGTCGTGTTGTATTTTTAGTGTGAAGCAAAGTGCCCTTAAAACGTGGACAGAGTGGACAGAGATGAAATCACACGTTTGTTGAAGAAACGCTGGATACACCTTCAATTTTGACGGAAATAACATCTTGAGCTAGGGCGTTTTACAGCAACATACCGACATATTGGCATTTCGACTTATCTGATCTCCTAGGTCTCGTGTCATTTAATAAAACCAGGTAAACCAGGCTAGAGGAGAAGTACGTCCCGAAATCACGTTAGCAAGCAAAAGTTGCTAAAGTTTCTGAATTCACCGATCCGGGTCTCTTTTTCGTTAAACAGATAACATTTCGGACGGACAGTGACAAAAGGATGAAAGTTTGATTGCAAGTTAGGTGAGGTATAAGCCTCAGCATGGAGGCAACTAATGTATAAACTGGCAGTTCAAATTAGAGGCTTTTACAAGTCGCAGCCATGTTCTTACTCTAGACTTTAGGAGATGGAAAACTCGCATAGTCAAATAAATAGGTCGTCGGTTTGCGAGTTCTTCCTTGCTTACAGCCTGTATTTGGAAGGTGATTACACATCATAATTAATTCCATGTGCTGTGACATTTATGTGCACGTGAGGATTTGGGATATTGCCCAAAAATGACCGCATAAAGCTGACCCCAAGACATAGACTAGGTAAGATGTTAATGCACCAATTACATATTTGAAGCATAAAAAATTTGCAGCAGTAGTTGAAAATGGAAACCTGATCTACCTGAGAATGGGAGATTAAAAGTTATCGCGTAGACGACATTTTTGTGTCCCTCCAAAGTGCAAATCAAATTTCCTGTGTCTGTCTCCCATATTTTTGCGGTCCGATCATACGAACCAGTGATGAAACTAAAAAACGTTTAAATAGCGTTAACGTTTCTTCCATGGGAACCATCGTTTACGGCGTGTCCAAGCAAAAGTTTTTGGACAGAAAAAACTAGAGAAGAAAATTTCAGTGACTGCTATGTGCAAATGAATTGTAACCAACCAGCATGCATGCGATGCACTTGGTACTAGGTACTAGGTGCGCGTTTAGTCGTTTTGTAAAATTCTGTGCTTTTTGCAATGAGGCCTATATTCTTTTATTTGGGATCCTTTTCAAGCAAACTCCACGCGTACGCAAAAAAGATAACAGAGGTGGAAAAACAAGAAGGTGAAAAAAGGCAATATCCGTTCAGGACTTAATCCATCTGTTTACCGACAACGTGCCTTCTAAACAACTGGAGTAACTGTATGCATTAATATAGGCGACTTTATCACGCAGATGGTCTGTAGACGGTATTTAACTAAGCGGAAAGAAGGAAACGTCTAAAACACAACGCGGCGTAAACGTCCTGTAGTCTAAGCGATAAATGCATTAAATAAATTAAAAACTCTCCAAAACTTCAAGTTTGCAACCACTAACCACATGGTCGCTATTCTATTCCGGGTTAGAGATGCAGCGTGAGATTTTACTAGTCCTCACAACGTTGACAGATAAGGAGGCTGGACTTAACATGCTAGTTGACTGGTAACACTACATTTTATACGTACGTACTTGTGTTTGTACTTGGTACGCCCGCGAACATGTCTGATCTTGCCGTCCTCAGTGATGTCACGGACAGTACATCCTCACGCATGATGATACGCGGCGGCAGATCTGGATAGTTCAACTCATTTTCTTCACAAAAGTCGTAGATCAAGTACCGAAATTCCAAGAACCACTCTTCTTTCGTGACGAACTGTGTCGAGCCCGGTTCTGATTTGACCCCCCTTCGACGCTCCTAAGCGGATAACGGTACTTGTTCTAGGGCAACAGCACTGAGCTCGCGAGTTGCACGAGGTAGAACGTGTTCAAATCACCGTGGTTGTTTTTCTCGAATGGCTTGATTTATAATTGTGATGTTGCCGATACTTCTTCTGATCAACTTGTGATGATGTCACATCGGGTGCGGACTGTCTCATTTGAAACAAAGTCGGTGTATCTCACTCGGAAGATAGTCCTAAGGCAGTGGTGGCCAAAAACCTCCAGTTCTTCCTTATCTTCCAGGCGTATTGCCCAGCAGTCACAACCGTGCAGAAGGACTGACCGGACGAATGTACGCAAATCTTAGTGGCAATAGAAATGTCGTCTCGGACCAGAAGATACTTTTAAAGACTTAGAACTACCCGGTCGGCAGCACCGACTCGGGAGACAGTATTGCTTTTACTCTGTCAATTCTGCAGTAGTCTCCTCCCAAAGTATTTAAAACTTTTTACACCTTCAAGGTGCAGCCGTTAACCTCGAGAGGTACTCTATCCTGTTCAGTGATGCAGCTTTGAAAGTCTTTAGTTTTCCTATCGTTTATAGGTAAACCGACGGACTGAGCGGCCTCGTTTACCCGTGACATCATACGGTGTAGACAGCCAAGGCTTGGAGCTAGTAAAGCAATATCGGTGACGCAGTCAGCCGGTAGCCGAGTGCAAACTCGGCATCGGTAACGTGTTGGGCGTTCCCCAAAATCCAATATGTGGCCTAAGTGAATAGAATGGATGAAAAGATACGACCTTACCGAACGTCAGACAGGATATCAAACAGCCGGAACGGTTATTATGGACTAGACCTCGCGCAATAGTCGGGCGGTAGTTGGCCTTGATCATGGCGAGGATCTTTGTCGACACACCATCTAGTTTCATTAGTCGCCACAGGAACTCACGATGAACGGCATCGAACGCCAACAAAGCAGACGACCGTCTGTCGCTATGGCGTATTTCAAGAATGAGCCTCAGTGTGAATATCAGATCACGACACCGGCCTGGTTAAACCTCGTTTTAAAGTGGCGTGCTGCCTGAAATCTCCTGAGGCGTATGCAGTGGTAGTTCTCGCATCTTGTCTTATCACACATCCAAAAGACAAGCACAGGGATGTCTGAGCCCCAGTCATCATCAACGACCTCGACTCTTCACGATTGTTCAATCCTCTCATGGAGCCAGGGTGCCAGAATGTCGACACAACACTTGCAGATTTAAGATCTTTCAATTTTATTTTACACACGGCCCATACCGAAGCTCCATCCAGTCATTCCTATAACGTCTTCGTCTTACAGAAGCATCGCTTGTATTGGTCATGTAGATGAAACTTTCAACCACCCTATCACCTTTGTCAATGTTAAGACTGCTGTCCATAAGAACAAAGTTGAAATTTAAGTGTGTTGCATTAACGGATGACTGAAGATTTCTTATGGTTCCACGGGCAATCGAAGCTGGTACAATTTAGATTGAGTTCGGTACCACTTATAGCATAATCTTTCCCTAGGATTATTAAGAAAGTTTTTAGTCATTTTTTGAGCATATTAAAGAAGAGCATCCATTGTGCGATTGTTTTTGCAATTAGTTTTTCACAAAGATTCGTCTTTCTCTGCAAGGATTTGTTTCTGGCTTTGCGTTTTCTACCCATCAGTTATTAGGCCTTAGCAAAAACTTCTGTTTGTATGGAAAGATTGTTTTAAACCATACCGTCACGGAAAAGGCCTGCCAGTAAAGTGGAGTAAGTCAAATAACTACCTGAAATGTAAATTCATATATTCACCCCTTAATGTGAGCGCTCTTACTCGCACGACAGATCGAGTAGCAATCACTAAGCAATGTATATGATTAAACGTTTGTCCTAAAAAAAACAGATATTCGGCCACAGGAGATGTCAAACGAACAAAAGCATTCGTATCCATAAAAATTATAATTTCAAAAAAACAGACGTTTAAATATCTTTAAATCCAAAGACAAAACGTTGACTTACTGACTGCCAGTTTTGTTGAAAGAAACGTTTGTTAGCGGGAGTATGTGGGCCCGCAAGACCTTTAAGGCTAATTTATCCTCAATAATTTAGTGAAAACATACCTTTGATTGGGAGAAACTCGCTTTATCCGGTTGAGAGACTTTTGTCTTTAATTTGTTAACAAGTTCTTTCAGTTGAGGTTTTCTCTTCTCAGTAATAAGAGGCTCATTCATGAAAATTTCCTCAGCTATAGCCTCTACATCGCTCCTTAATTGGTGATATTTTTGTGTTAGAAGCAAACGTTTTATTTAAGTGAAGGAGATCAATAGGCTTTATTCTTTCACACCCACTTTGTTCATAATCTAAAATTATTCCTAAAAAATAAATGAATTTTTGAAAACATACCAGGTGGGTAATACCGTAGCAGAAACCGCTTTAACTTCATAATTATTAAAAAGAATCCGTTGAAGTGGTTGCTATGACATTCGGTTTTTAAGGTCATTACGTTAATGCTAGGTAGGAGTTCAGTATCATGTCAGTCGTGGGAATTATAAGAGAAGGGAATACTAGTCAACATTTTGTCGCTTTCCTGTTAAAATCAGCATAGATATTAGGCCCGGACCATGCCATTAAGCCTTCAGACGAAATCCAGAAGAGGAATTTTGGAGCGAGACAATTGCCAGAGAGACAAACCCCGGGACAAAAACAGTTGTGACACAGATCTCAGAGAGAACTAAAAAACCGAAAAGTGGAAATATAGAAATCAAAATTAGGTAAGATTGATGGATAGAGGTGTGATGAGCACCAGTCTAGAGCAAGGAAAAAGTCGCAAAAAGTTAAGTGATTTAATTTACTTAGATGAATTATCCGAACACCGGTAAAGGCGACAATGGAGCTGGGTCACTATAACGAAGTCTAGTAGGATATTTGTAACCTAAATTTTTACAAACCCACGGCGCAATGAATCATCTAAACTCCAACAAGAGTGCAAGACTCCTCTCTATAATAAGAGTCTCTACTGCGTCAAAAGGCACCAATAAGTGACATCGACAAGTCTGACACTTAAACCCAACTGCTTTGATACATCAAATAACTTAATATGATTTAGTCTCGAAACCTCCCGAAGGATGTACATGTAGGAGAAAAGGCGATCCCTTCCGATGTGTCTCCTTCCAGATTGATGTCACGTTAACAAAAAATCATATTCAGAATGGTGCACAAAATCTAGACTTCAACCATTTTTGTTGTCTTAAAAGAGTTCTGTAACTCAATACTTAACTTTCTCTTTATCTTATATTAATCAAATAATACGTGAACATCACGACAAAAAAGCAGTGTTCGATCTCTGACTTAATGAACACACCTTAAACCATAGGCCAATTTTCTTTACTGCGGTTTGGGGCCGTTTGCTATTAGATCCCAGCAATGACCTGCAAGCATCGCTCGATATTTCTATCTGCGGAAATAAACCCTATTAATTTAAGACGGAGAATATAAGGGTTTTCCCGACTCACACAAAAAAGTTAAGGGACATGAAATATTTGACGGTCTTCACCGATTCTATGCCCCTTCGATTTCAGCGAAAGAGTCATATAGCGTTAACTATGGCCCCATACAAACATAATCTTTCACTTTCTTGAGAAATGCACGACAACGGTTGTTACTGTAGGTATCACTCCAGAAACCGGCTGATGTGTCCATCCGCTTCTTCATAACTTTAACAGCTGCTGGAGTATTGAAACAGGTGCTTCTTTTCGCGGCAGCTTAGAGTGCGGTTAGTGAGGATCATCAACAAAGTTACGGGACAGGATTATCATGTTCGGCCTTAGGGATCAATCTCGAGCCTTTTCAGCCAGTCGCATGGCGACTGGTAACATATGCAGATAATGGATAACCGAAAAAGTCAACGGGACAGGAAAGGTGCTTTCAGGTAAATAAATAGCCATAAGCCAGTCAAATCCAATCTCGCGTGTAAACCGCCTGAACAGCGAGCTCGTGGATCATTGGTTGAGAGTTTGCCTCCAAAACCACAGATCCTAAGTTGGAATTTCATGTAAATATATGTCAGTCAGTCACATTGTTAGAGGGAAATGGGCTTACGCCTTTGAACTCCCTATTTGTAAGTAAAAGTCGGTAAAATAGCAAAATGTAAGGAAAGTACAGCATAAAGTGAATAAAGACATTGATTCACATATGTCACTGATCTCATGGCTGCAAAGTCACATAGTCCCCCTGTTGCTGCAGAATATATCTGTCAAACCGACATTTAAATGCCTCCACAGATTCAGAAATGACAGTTGTTTCGAGCAGGATATCCCACGGTTCCACGACACGGTTGAAGAAGAAATATTTTCTCACATAAAATTTACCCTGGGGCGCACGTAGCTTGAAGGGATGTCCCCGAAGGTTAGTTGTAATGGCGAGTTGGAAAAAGTCGTCGTACCGAAGGGTGCAGTCCAAGCCACGAACGATATGGAAAGTTTGTATTAAGTCTCCGCGCAACTGCCTATAATTCAGAGGATAGCGATTAAGGTTAGTTAAACGGATCTCGTATGACAGTGCACATTGAACTCTTATTAACTTTATTGCTAGCCTCTGCACGCTTTCGAGCAGATTGTAATCCTGACGCGTCCACGGTCTCCAGGCCTGAATTTCATATTCGAGATGCGGCCTTACAAATGTGCCGAAGACTTTGGAGAAGCAGTCTTCATCGAAAACTGCGAATGCCCGCTTAATGGCATATAGCATTGAAGTTGCGACCTTAGCCGCCTTAGAACATTGTGTGGAGGGCTTTATGCTGTCTGTAACTCAGACCCCCAAATTTTTCCGCGTTTTCGTTTCTCGGAGTGGCATTCCGTTCAGATGGTACTGCCGCGTATTAGGGGTCTGATTTGCGAGGCGCAGTATGATACAGTTGTTCAAATTGAAGGACAAGAGCCATCTGCGTGACCACTCGTCCAATAGACAAAAATTTTCTTGGGAGTATAATATCGGCTCTGAACCCATACTGTCTCTCTTTTACAACATATTTTTGATAGTTCCAAGGCTCTGCCGATCATCCCTATATACATATATATATCCAATCATAATTAATTACGAACGCTTCAGGCAGCATCGAAAAAGTCATCTGCATCCCCACAAGCACGGCTTGTATGTCGTTTTCCTAATTTTGCGCCCTAGATCAAACAAACGGTATGTTTGATCAGGTCTCTTTAATAACATTTGCTTAGATTTTTATGACGTCGATTGGAGCCCGATGTTCCCGGGTAACATCAACGAAAATTGAAAATACAACGTAGGAACCGATGGAATAGTGTAATTTGCAAATATCAAGTGGCTGACGGAGAGGGAGTTTAAGAATTCTCCTTTCCTCATCTCCTCCGTAGTAAAATTATCACTCTAGTTTACCACAATTGGATTAACGGGAAATGCGAAATGGGAGACCGGAGCGACAGATCTGGGGGAATTTGCATCGTTAATAGCTTAAGAATCTCAACGCCACTGTCTCTCTCTTTTTCTCTCGCGGGGCTCTGTTTCGGAACTTATTAAAACATATTAATGATTTTAAGCAAACTGATAAATAGTCTATGGATTAATGCTAAAGTTGCTTTTCTTACTTTAGAGCTTAGCTGAAAGAATTTTGAGATGGTGGGAAAGCAGCAGCACTTGATATAAACATCCCCAGTCGGCATGACTTCCTAACAAACACTGTTGTAAATCGTAAAAAAGGTTGAATCGTTTTTGAAACATATATGGTGCCACTCTAAAATGTCTGTGAAGTTACTATGTAATGTCTTGACAATGTCAATAAAACCAGTTGAATTTTGTCATACCCCGGGCGTGGCTTAGAGGGAAATTGTAAAACAATGGTGAATCAGTGCGCACTCTCTTCTAAAAAGGCTATAACAGAAATTCATAAATGAAAGGCCGATGTCATTTTTCGAAAGACAAACGTATTACAGTACCATTAATGGTCGCCGAGTTGACCGGGTGAGAGCACTTTAAAGATAAAATAGCAGTCACAAGTGTCTGAAGTTAAGGAGGGGGCCTTTTTAAATGCAGGTCAGGCAAAATCGCTTAAGATTATTTTGACGTCAAAGTTAACCCCTTCAATCTCTTGAAGAGTTCACAGAACTTGTCTTCATTGGCTAAATGGCACGGTGAATCATAGACACGACCAACCGACATCTTCTTATTCCTCAGGATATTTCTCGAAAAGGGGGAGTTGCTTAGGTTATATGGTGGATGTGCAGGAGAACTTTTAATCTGTAGGAAGTAATACCCGCCAATTTTGTCGATGTAACCCGAGGTTATGGATCACGAGCGCCGAGTCGAATATAAGAAAGCCCAAGGTCCTATAATACATGAAGCATTAGGATTGAGGCCAAGAGATATCATTATCAGTTGGGACATATTTGCACGGCTGATCGCTCGTTAAGCGAATCTATATTGAGCCTGTCCCTAAAACGCAGGTTACGCCTAGTACTGCTTATAAAACAGGAAGAGCTGGTGGTTGAAAGTTAAAATGCTGGTAAAAGTAAGGAGCAGAAAGCAAACTGCCAAGGTCTGTGATTTGTGGAAGCATTTTTCCGGAAGCACTGTAGTACAGAAAAAAAGAAATAGAGTCCAAAGGGAGTAGTACTTTTTGCTGGATCAAAGAACAGACGCGGATAAAAGGACGTTTTGAGGAATGTCATCATACAAGGACGGGAGACTTAACTCAGAAAACGGAATAAACGGTCTTAAAGAACTGTTTACATAAATTGCTGTTGCGGTCAAGCCGTCTATTACATTTGGATGCGTGTGAATAGCAACAGCTCCTTGGAGGGACTGCGAAATAGTACCCTTCATTTGAACCTGGCACCATTTGATGGGAAAATAGGGAAAAAATACTACCGAAGATGTTGAGAAAGGCCGAGAGCAACAGACGGGTAGCCAACTTAGAAAATTACTTTTGAAAGAGTATAATCAGTGAAAGACTTTTTCTGCCGATGAATGTAAACTCAACTTCCAGGCTAAGAATAAGCTTACTTCCCGCAAATATTGGGTTAAGTGCTTGCGGTAATGGAAAAATGTCATTTTACGGGCGGAAATTGTTCGACCAAAATGGTCGGATTTTGTTCGTTTCCGAAAGCCTCTTTTCGCCCCTGATTTTAAATTAGGATCAGCAGAAATAAAGAAAAAGGGTAAACACCGTCCATAGTCTGGCCTTCCTCAGGCACGTTTTTTTCAGGATAAAGGGGGAACTTCCTTCTACCTTCCATTTGACCCATCGGATGACAGTTTTGAACTTCATACAGTGTTAAGAAGTATAAGTCGATACGTGTTCTTTAAAGAATGGACGAAGAATAAGGAAGAGAGATCCCAAATGAGACATTAAATCGTTAAAAGTTCCAACAACATCAAGGTCTAGATTCTTCTTATGGACGGTTGGTTTCAAATGAG